AGGTCGTGGCTCGCATGCGCCCCCGCCCCCCCCCCCCCCCCTGCGGGCGCCGCTGGGTCCTCTTGCAGCTGCCCTTCGGGGAAGTGTCTGGCCTGTGGCCATCGGACGCCTCCTCGCGTCGCGGCTCTGGGGAATGCGGGGGGGGCGTCCTCGTCCGCGTCCGCGTCCGCATGCTCGCCATTGCCGTCGCCGCCGTTGTCGCCGCCGTCCTCCGTGTTGTCGCCGTCGTCACCGTGCTCGGCGTTGTGGGAACATTGTGTTCGGAAGAGGCGATGCAAACGCCACAAGGCGCCTGTGGAATGCTTGTCAGCGGCATCATGCGCCCTCGTTGCCCTGCTCACCCAGGTAGGGTGAGGGGAGGGTGAAAGGTGGCTGACACGAGGAGGAGAGGAGGAGAGTAGAGGAGGCGGAAGAGGGCTGGAAGAGGAGTTGGCAGGAGGGGGGCGGACATGTGACAGAGAAGGGAAGGGGTAGGATCAAGAACTGGAGGAGGAGGGTGAGGAAGAGGGGGGAGGAGGTGGAGGGGGACGAGGGTGAGGAAGAGGAGGAGGAGGCGGAGGCGGAGGCGGAGGAGGAGCGAGAAGGGGAGAATGAAGAGAAGGAGGAGGAAGAGGAAGAGTGGGGTGGCGGGACCTACGCGATGACCTGGTTGAGGCAAACAGAAGCCTGTGGCCGACGTGCTGAGCGCTGGAGGCTGGCAGGGGATGGACCAGCGTGGAAGCCGGGAGGGAGGATCAGCAGCGGCCCCTCTCGCTGCTCCCTCTCCGCCTACTTTCTGTGCTTCTGCAGACCGCGTTGATCATCCCGACTGATCGCTGTGGTCATCCAGCTCCTCCACACCTTCTGGATTCTCCAACCTTCCCCTCTTCCTCCCCCACGTGATCGTCAACAATTTTGTCATGTTCATCTTCGTGTCAAACGTGAGGACTTTTGAATGTGATCGTGGTACGTATCGAAACATGTTGACATGAGAAGCTAACCAGTAGCATGTATCAGGCGCTTTGGCCAATACTGAGGATCGCTGGTAGTCCCTCTTCATGATCCTCCTCCTCCTCTGCCTCCCCATGCTCGTCCTCCTGCTCCTCCTCGTCCTTCTCTCGCTCCTCCTCGTCCTACTCTGCAATCTATATCTCCCCGTCCTCCACCTCTTCCTTTTCGATCCAACTCCTCTTCCACCTCGTCCCGTCGTGGTCGTCGTCCTCCTCCTCTGTGGCTGCTCTGGGGCAGCCGGGCGGCCGACAACACCGGGTTGGGGATGTGGCTCGGAGATGGTGCGCCCCCTCCCAACCCGGCTGCGCTCAGGTCGGGCCTGTCCCCCTACAGGGGGATGTTGGACGAAAAATAAAAAAAACTCAACAAATACTCAGCAGATGCCCAAAAATACTCAAAACATAGTCCCCAGAGTAATTTTGACTATTTTTGAATATTCCCCACGTAGAGGGGCGGGCCCGACTTAAGGCTACACTCCAAGGTGACCCTGGGAAGGAGTGAACTTTGGTGCGCGGACTAAGGGGGCGCGAAGTGGCCAAGTCCAATGGCGCAAACCACCGCTCTCACGACGCGCTCAGCCATCCCGGGGACACCGATGAGCCCGCACTAGGGGTCACTTCGCCGCAGGGTCACTCTCACGAGTCGTCGATCCATGGTCTTTTTCCCCCCATATCCGAAGGATGAGGTTCTTGCTATTACTCCGACCGCACCTACTCCTTTCACTGACCTCCCTCCTCCTCCTACACCTCCTCCTCCAACCCGCCACGAGTCACACGCATATGCTATCTCATGCTAAGACAGGACATGGTATGCTATACTATGGTATGGTATGATATGTTATCTTATGATTTGGTATGGTATGATTTGTTGTGTTATGATATGTCATGGTATGGTGTATCAGAATACGGTGTGTGATGCTGTGGTGTGGTGTGTTAAGTTGGTGTATGTCATGCCATGATGTTTTATGCTGCGCTTTGCTATGATGGTGGCAGTGATGATGAGGGAGGCTACGGCTGCGAGAAAGGGAGCCACGCTCTCCTGGCTAATTTTTGAAGTTCGGGGCATGCCTTGCCAGGATTTCTTTAAATGCAGGGCCCCTGGAGGTCCCGACCCGTTCCCTGGGACCGGCTGTTCCTCCTGAGTCGTTTCGTCGACGGTCCCAGGCCCTGGACACACACCTCCCGCCGTGACTTCTCAACGACGCGATCCTGTCTGGGGAGGGGTCGGCCCGATGCGCCCCTGCGACAAGGAGGGGCCAGGCACCACGTGGCCGACCCCCCATCTCCGTCGCGGTCTCTCCGCCCCTGCCTCCGCTCCCGCCCTGCTCCTTGCCCTCCTCGTCGTCCTCCTCCTCCTGCCTCCTGCCTCCTGCACTTTCGCTACGGGGCAACGGTCCGGGGGGACTGGCTCCGGGGAGGAGGCGTCGACCTGGCATCGGCGATGCATCGCCGCTAGCTCGGCGTCGGGCCCCCGCTCGTGAAACTGGACGCTCCTGGGCCGGGTGGCACACCGAGCCTCTGTCGGCGACCCATCCGCGACTTGGGGGGTCGATGCGTCCTCCCCTGAGCCTATCCCCTATCCCCCCCCGAATCTTAAGTTGGGCCTGTCCCCCTACAGGGGGAATTTCGACGAAACATGAAAAAATACCCCAGAAATAATCAAACAATAATCCAAAATAGTCTGGGGACTTTTTTTTTGGTATTGTTTAACCTTTTTGGTGTATTTTTGAATCTTTTTGATTTTTCGTCGAAAATCACCCTGTAGGGGGACAGGCCCGACCGAACCCTCATCGGTGCCCCCGGATCCGCGCCGTCGCCACCTCCCGCGCGCGAGGGCCGTGGCGCTCTCCTTCTTGAGCCAGCCCCTGGCCCGGGGGGTGTTGTGGTCCGGGGCCGCCGGGGCCGAGCGCAGCCGGGAGACCTCGAGCCTGCTGACGCCCCCCTGCTCGTGCTCGGCGCTCTGGGCACTGCCGCTGCCCGCGGCGACCGGGGCCTCTGTCGGACAGAGGGGGAGAGCGAGAGAGAGAGAGGGAGGGACGATGAAGCAAGAGAGAGAGAGAGAGAGAGAGAGAGTAAAGAAAAAGGAGAGCGAGGCCGAGTTTGCCCAGGGGTGCGGGAAAGCGGACTTGGCATCGTGAGGAGGGGGATCTCTACAGATGTGCATATCTGCGCATGTGCATACATAGAATCACAAAGGGAAGGCGGCGCACAGACAAGTAACACACGAAATGCAAGTATGGAGCACGAGAGACATAACTAGATCGAGACGTCGAAAAAGAGAGCGAGAGAGCGAGAGAGAGAGAGAGAGAGCGATCCGCACTGACACACATGCACACGCATACGTATACACACATGTATATGTTTTCCAGCGTCGACCACACACAGTGAGTTATTGAACTGTAAAGGTGAACCATCTGTGGCTTGCAGCACTCACGTAGTGTTATCTGTGACCTATAAAGCTATGATGAGTTCGATCTGCTGCGTGAGCTGTCACATGGCATGTCGGTTACGTGGTGTGGTCCATGCTGTGTTAGATACACTGCATCAGCAAGGTGGTTAAACACCTGCAGGGTTGCATGTGTTGTGAAAGCTAGACGGTGTGATCTATGTGGGTGAGGCGTGGTGTGCTACATCTGCGGTGGAAGCTGTGAGGTCTGCGCTATGCTGTGTCAGTTATGCTGCCCACCCAGGGCAGGCGGCGCCCACTGTGAACGGAAGTTAACAGCATGATAGTCGAACCTACCGTATGATCCGTAGGTAGAGGATAAGGAGGATGAAATATGGAGATATTTTATCCTCGCGCCCTGCGAACGGAGGGCGCAGGTACATCCAGCAGGATGCTAGATGCTAGCCAATACATGAGCCGAACGAATAGCAGGAACAACAAAAAGATGAAAGGAGGAGATCAGCGGTCTTCACACACACACACACACACACACACACACGCCCACGCCACGATGCGCCCACGGGACGGCAACGGCGCGCAAACACGGCGGAACCTTGGACCTTGGCGGACCCGCCCAGGAGCGAGGGGCGCCCACGAGTGCCGACGACGCGCCCGCGGGCACGACGGGGCGGAGCCTCGGCGGACCCACCCGGGGCACCGGGCGCCCGCAAGGTACCCACGGGGCCCACACTGGGCGGGCACGGGGCGCCAGCGAGGCGACGCCTCCGCGGGCCCACCGAAAGGCACCGGGCGCCGCCGAGCGTCACCGAGGCGCCGCAGCCTCGGCGGACCCACCGTGGGCAGGGGACGTCCACGAGGCGCCCTTCGGGCGAGCACGGGGAGCCCACGAGGCGTAGCCTCTCGGCGGACCCACGGAGGGCGTGGGGGCGCCCACGGGCGCCCACGGGGGCCCCAAGGGCGGGCACGGGGCGCAAACGAGGCGAACCCTTGGCGGACCCGCCGCGGGTGGTACGTATACATTTGCATGTGATTCAGATGTTTGTACATGTATATATATGTGTGTGTCTGAAAAATATAAGTGTGTACATTCATGTATATACACATGTGTGCAGCCAACCTGTATAACAAGGACGCGCCATAAGGATGCAAGGGCCTTGGACGGTCATGCCGACACTCCGCCAGCGGGGCGCGGCCAGCGCAAGCGGCCAAGGATGGGCCGAAAGGTAAGGATGCAAAGGGTACCCTTGGGAAGGTTGCTCATCCTTCTTGAGCGGGTTGACTGTACGCATGCACCGTAAGCGCACACGCATCTCTGACATATGCACAATCACGTACACCCTCATCTGTCAGCGAAGATGGATAATGTGCGGACATGGGCCGCTGGGGTGGCGCGCCTCCATAGGGCAGACTTGTGCCGCATCGCTCTCCGCCTCCTCCTGCGACATGGCAACTTCCTGGATGGGGGACACAAACACATCTGTATATAGAGAGGGAGAGTGAACGAGAAACCGTTGCGCCTATATCTATATATACACATATGTATATATAAATAAGAAAGGGAGATATAGAAAAAGAGGGAGAGAGAGAGAGAGAGACAGAGAGAGATAATACATAGAAAGAGAAAGGGAGAAAGAGAGAGAGAGAGAGACAGACAGACTGGGAGAGGGAGAGAGAGAAAGAGAGAGAGACAATGATACATATAAAGGGAGGGAGGGAGACAGAGAAAGAGAGAGAGAGAGAGAGTTAGAAAAGCAAATCGAGTGAACAATCTATGTACATTTGAAGGAGAGAAACATCTAATCCACAAGACCAATAAAGAGAGAGAGAGAGGGAAAGAGAGAGAGAGAGAGAAACAAATAGACGGAGACAGAAAACATAGAGATATGAACGACAGGCCATATTCAGAGGAGGATAAAAGGGTAAAGGGAGGAAGTGAGAGAGAGGGAGGAAGTGAGATGCGGAGCAATGTTTTCTGGACCAAATCGAGCCAACACACCTGAGTGAGTCTCATTTCTAGAGCTGCGAGGGCTGCAATCGACCCAGAACACCACAGTGAGTCTCAGTTCTGGATCTGAGATATGATGGGAGCTTTTGAGCCCTTGACCACCATTATAAGGGGGCAAACAAACCTACCTCGCTTTTGACCACCCTCGCTTCCAAGAGATATCAAGCGATGCCAAGCGAGGACGAGGAGGCGCGTGGTATGATTTGGTTTTGCCTGGAAGCGAAAGCGGGGTAGGTAATTCAAGCTCTGACATTAGAACCCCTCCAACGAAACTTACTAGGGAAACGCGTGGCTCCAGCTCGGAACATGCGTAAACACACATCGGCTTCGAGCCACAGTGGAAGGGCAATCGATAGGAATCTGCGTCAAACACGCGGCAGTCGGAGCCCCAGGAAAAAACCATGTCAATTGACATCTGGCCCTAACGCAATCGTGAGTCGCATTTTTGACCCGACTCGAACCAGAACACCACTAGAGGAACAAAGAACGGCACAAACATAAACTTTTGGAGGTCCGCGCGGATTTCTTGGACCTGCGCTGGACTCCCCTCCCTTGTGCGCGGATCGCGCCAGGGGCGGCGCCAGAGGCACCGCCAGGGGGCCCGGCGAAACCAACAATTTATGCTTTAGCGCTTGCTCTTCGTCGAACCACCGTGAGCGCTGCCAGACCGTGAAAACATCGAGCCAAAACACCGCAAGGAGCGCTGCCACAGACCGCGCTGCCAAGCCGCGCCGGGCCGCGCCGACGGGCCCGGGGGAGACGCCTACGCCCCGGCTCCCCCAGGTGTGGAGATGCTGGCGAGAAGGGCCCTTCAGGCCGAACAGCCGGAGGGCTTCTGAGGATTCCCGCCTCCTTCTCAGAAGGCCTTCTCCTTCTCGCTTCCCCCCCTCGCCCGCCGCCGAATCTTTGCACTTTGTTAGGGGCCTCCAGCGAAGCGATATTCGGAACAAGGCCAAGGATCCGTTCTTGCGAAAATGCGCGCAGTGGCAGCATCTGGCCCTGGGGGCGACAAGGGCGAAAAGCGGCAGCAGGCGCTGTCACTACCCGACAAGCTGCGGAAGGCGAATCTAGAGTCCGATATCGTCGGTAGCCCGAGAAGGCAGGCAGCGGCAGCAAACGCAGCCGCTGCAGACGGGGTTCGTGCGAGACACACCTTAGCAGCTGTGTGGGACTCTTTAGTGCCAGAAGGTGCTCGTGGGACAGGTTCGGAGCTACAGTGCGGGGATCGGGTCGTGCGAGAGGGCAAGCAGCGGCAGCAGGCTCTGCTGCTGCATGCGGTCGTGCGGGACACATCTACGAGTCAAGACCATCAGCCACAACGCTGGGAACAGCTCGTGCGAGAAATGCTAAGGCGTGCGAGAAAGGCAGGCAGTGGCAGCCAGAGTGGAGGAAGGCCACGAGCGCAACGTCATCACCTACAGTGCGGGGCCCATCGTCGAAACCAGCGGAGGGCTATGACAGCAGACAAGAGCTGCTACAGCGCTGGGGACAGGGCGAGAAGGCGAACCGCCAACGAAGGACAACCCGACCCGTTTCAGCCCAAAGGGGCTGGCCTTGGAGCCCCACGCCGTCAGCTGCAGCAGCGGCGCCACGGCGTGCGAGAGGGACAGCCGGTGGCAGCGGGATCCGAGGCAGGGCGCGAGCCCAACGTCGTCAGCTGCTGTGCTGGGCTCATCGTCAAAGCCTGCAGAGGGCTGCAGTCGGACTTGGTTGGACAGGACACGCGAGAGGACACAAGACCCTTCCGAGGGCCTCATTGCCACAGGAATGTAGGAAGCATGGGTCGCGAGGCACAGGACACAAGGGTACCCTTGACTTGGCAGGGTCGACCTACTAATCTGGGCCGACTGTATGGCAGCAGACGCGATCAGCTACAACGTTGGGGCGAGCTCGCGCGAAGGGGGTCCAAGAGTGCGCGTGAAACAAGCACGAGCAGGCAGTGGCGAGCATCTGAGAAAGCAGGCAGTGGCAGCGGGTATTCTGTTGCCAACGAGGGCTCGTGTGAGAAGACGTGCAGCGTGGCATCAGCTACAGCGCTGCGATCAGCTCGTGCGAGCAGGGCGCAAGCACGCAAAGCAAGCTCACGATGCAACGCATCTGCGGAAGATACGCGCCGCGGGGGAGGTGGCCCCTGTCTCAACTACAATGCTGGGATTGCAGCTGCGAGGGGCTGGTGCCGAGACACCAGCAATTCAAGAAGGGCTGGGGCACATCCTGGCAGAGGGCATCCGACCACAAGTCGGCCCTTTGATGGCAAAAGGCCTGGCCGTGTTGAGTCTGGCACGGGATCGGCCCGCGTGGCGAAATTCGGCCGCGAGATCTGCGGGGCACTTTCGCCTCCTGGTTACTCGTTCGACCGCGATACTCCCCAGCGACACTCCCCCTTTTCTCCTCCTCAGCCTTCCTCTACTCCACCTCCGTCGATCTTCTTCCCTGCTCGTCGGCTCCGCCTCCTTCTCCGGCCTCTCCTCCTCCCCCTGTCTCTTGTCTCCTTCCTGCTACTCCTGCCGTTGCATTTTCAAATCTTGGTCACCGAACTCTTGCCCCATTTCTCATGCATGCTTCCTCCTTCCCCGTCACCTCCTTCCTCTCCTCCTCCTTCCTCTCCCCTCTCCGCAGACCAGACAGGCAAGACAGACAGACAGGCCTGACGGTCGAGACTGCACAGCGACCAGGCCAAACAGAACAAGTGAACCCGAAAGGGCCCGAAGCTAGAAGCCTCAACGTACAAAGGCTGCCACCGCGCTGCGCAGTGGTTGGTGTTGGTGTGTGGGTGTGTTTCACCTTGGCGCAGCGATCCCGTCATGGGCCATTATGTATTAAATCCGCGCGTGTACTGAAAGGGTCATCGCGAAAATTGTGTTAACATGTGACGCATGTCCAACATTATTCTGAAAACGGTCGGCGTCTCTGATTCCCAGGCTTCGACCTGGTGCCTGGGACGGGAGCGCTGGCAGACTAGACGATAGACGGTAGAGAAGAGATAGAAAGATACAGAGAGAGAGAGAGAGAGCGAGAGCGAGAGCGAGGGAGAGAGGGACAGAGAGAGAAAACAAAACAACGAACCGAGTAAGGTATGGACAGTATATCGTATAGGACAGAGGACAGCAACGAGACTTCGGAGAGTAGAGGGCGAAGGGCATTGGGGCGCGATGATAAAGTAGAGTGTACTGGGGAGCAAAGAACAGAGCGTGGAGACTAGCGGGCGTCTGATGGTGGATGGCGAAGGGGTGAACATCACATGTAGTGGGCGAGGGTACCAAGCACAGAACAGAGATGACCACATTCGTCATCCTTTTCCTTCGCTGTTAGCTGTGCTGGATCTCAGCGGTTGAAATGATGCACGCTGCAATCCTCGTGAGACTTTCTACGGACCCTCCCCCAGCCTCCCACCGACCCCATCGAGACCCCCTCCCCCTGCTGCCCCAATAGCGAGATGGCGGATGCGCGCGGGAAAGCAACTGGTATGTCACCACGTCCGCTCGTGCTCACGCAAGGGGCTGTCACTGTCCCCAGCTCCACAATGACAAACATATAGAATCCAAAAACTGTAGCATCGTCTCCCGCCGCCGATGGGAGGCACAAGGACATACTAGTACTACATGTCCTCCTTGGAGGCGCGCGTCCGACCCGAACATAAAGTATGCTCATCTTGTAGTACTTCGTTTCCCGAGCGGGGTGGCCAGGAAGCGCCCGCCACGACGCATCTACTGCTAGATTTCTCGGTTCGCGCGTCGCCCTTGGGGGGGCGACGCACACGTAGTATTATAATGCTGGGGTGCCGCCGAGTCGAAGACGGGGAAGGAAACGAGATGAAGAGGACGAGCGAGGCGCCGCCACAAAAGAGGCACGACTCCGAGGCCCCCGCTCCTTGTCCAAGCGCTCGGCCTCCGCCACGCGCTCGGCCTCCGCAATCCGCGCTGCCTCTGCCAGGACTTCGGCCTCCGCCTGGCGCTCGGCCTCCTCCCTGGCCAACCGCTCGGCCTCGGCCAACCGCTCCGCCTCCGCTTTGTGCTCGGCCTCCTTCGTGGCCAACCGCTCGGCCTCTACCTTGCGCTGGGCCTCCTCCTCGGCCAACCGCTCCGCCTCCGCCTTGCGCTCGGCCTCCTCCCTGGCCATCCGCTCGGCCTCTACCTTGCGCTCGGCCTCCTCCTCGGCCAACCGCTCCACCTCTATCTTGCGCTCGGCCTCCTCCCTCGCCAACCGCTCGGCCTCAACTGCTGGCTCCGCCTCCATCTTGCGCTCGGCCTCCAGGGAAGCGGGGGGAAAAGATGGGAGGAAAACCTCCGCCTCCGTGACGGGCGTAGACGCTATCCGCCAGCTGGCCGTTTTATTCGAGGACCTCTCTCGGACGGCTCGGCAGAGACACCTGGGAAACATCGCAACCGAGCCCCAACAGCATCTGCAACGATCGCGTCCTCGGCGCACTTTTCCAACACTTGAACGTTCGCGAAGCCTGGGCTGTTTCAAGCACCCGCGATTGCCCCAAATTGTGACAAGCCGCCCAACCCCATACTCCCAAATCAAATCTATAACCAAATGCCGCCCCAAATCTCTCAACAAATGCTATCTAAACCGGGAATCCGACAAGCTGTTCGGGAATGCAGGCCCCCATGTCGTGGATAAGTGTGTCCGGTCAAGGAGCTTGCCGGATACTCCTCGATAGCGATCGTGTCGGCCCGCTGTGGTGACCGAGTAGGTGATACATGTACACAAACCATTGACAGAGATAGTTAGAGATAACGAAATAGAGAACAAGAGAAAGAGAGAGAGAGAGCAGAAGGGAGAGAGAGAGAGAGAGATCACGATAAAGAGAGGGAAATATATTCACAATCGAACCAGAGGTGTATGTATATATGTACGTTGGGAGATAGATGCAGAGAGAGAGAGAAAGAGGAAAGAGAGAGAGAGAGAGAGTTGGCGAGAGAGAGAAATACAATCAATCTCTACAAATCTAGACGTACGCCTGTACATATATCCGTACTTATGTACATCAGTAGAGGCAGAGCGGGATATATCCTGTAAGTGCCAATCTGTGTACACACTGGGGGCGCCATGGAGTCGAGAGCCACGGGGAGAGTTGGAACGGAAGGGGCCGCTCACCTAGAGGATCAATTTAATTATCATTGACAATACGAGCAGAGACACACATGTGTACATGTAACTATCAATGAACGTACGCATGCACATACATGCATATACAAACACGTCCGTGCACTTACCGATTTTGCTTTTCTGAAGACGCTCTGGCGGTTCCGTGCTCGCCGTCGCCGCTCCGTCGCCGCCTCGTCACCGCCCGTCGTTTGGGCCTGTTTGCTGGTCTGGCGGTTCCGTGATCGACGTCGCTGCCCCGTGGCCGCATCGCTGCCGCCCGTAATCTTGGCATGGTTGTCGGTCTGGCGTTTCCGTGCTCGCCATCGCCGCTTCGTCGCCGCCCCGTCGCCGCCTAGATTAAACAACTCAGATTGCACCCTAGAGGCTGCAACATCATAGTTTGCACCACATTGGTTTTCCCTCTTCAAAGAGAATCGATTGTGCAACATCGCCGAAACCAGACTTAACTGCTTACCGTCGCGTGTTGCACTATACAGATGGTTTTAGGTTCCCCCGCTCCACTTCCATCTAAACGCAGACGTTCTCAGCCCAGCCGGTATCGACCCTACTAGCAATCCCTGTCAAATAACACCATGCGCACACAGTCGTTAATCAAATACCAACCATTGTTTCAAACGTCCGTTGTCGAACAAAAAACACTCGACGAAACGCACACGCGCGCGCGTCGTCGCGCGCGCATGCCCGAATTCGTTGGCAATGTTTATAGGTTTCGCAAGGGTTGCAACATCGGCTGTCCTGGACATATACAACAAACGCTGTTTCTTCAACGTGAATTATCAATTTGTCTGCGCGCACCCTTGCGGATCCTTGAAACAAAACTAACATATGTTCCCACGTCATCATGCAATGCGACCCAACGTGGCTCACGCGCGCGCGTGTCGAAATCATTCGATCGCCCCTGCGCGTGTGCTGGGGGGGGGGACACGAGCCGTGCCAAATACTACCATGCGGGCCTGTCGCGCGCGTCGGTTGCGCGCGCATGTCGGAACCCGTCCAAAACCTGCATCACCGTTACGTGGCATCATCGTCATCGGCGCGGTCAGCGTCGGTGCCGTGTTTGGTCTTGCTGTCGTCGTCGTCGTCGCCAGCACCGCTACTATCATCATCGTGTCTGCCACTGTCGCCATCGCCATGGTACCACGCCCACTGGAGGCACCTATTCGCACGGACGTGCCCGAACGTCAGCGCGGCGTGCAAGACGCGCATGGGAATGCCCAGCGGTCACCGCCAAGGCGGCCGCGTTGATCGCGCCAGACTCGCTGGTCGCTTTGCGCGCGAGCCCGCGCACGCAAGCGCGGTTACGGCGATGCGGCAGCTGGCGCCAACCAGCCATCGCAATCGCCGCCGCATGGGTCTTGCAACCTCGTTGCGGGTGGGTGGGCGGGGTGTTTGCCCAAGCGCGGGATGTGGTCACGCGCGGAGCTCTCAAATTATGTGCACCGCCTAGACTAGACTACGTCCAGTGCGCCACATAGACTGAGCCACATATGGCCCCTCCCAACACACCAAAAACATACCCCACCACCAACCCGAGCGCGAATTTAACGCCCCGCCCAGCCGGGGGATGCGCAAATAACATAAGGATCTACCACATCGCTCATTCTAAATGAGCAGTCGCACGGTCCCAACCAAGCCAATATCGCCCCTTACCGCCCCACCCCACCCTTCCTCCGCAACAAACGCCATGCCCGCGATCGTTCGTCAAGGCCCATCGGATTTCAGAAATCCCGCGCGCAAGATGACACGAGAAACGCGCGCGGGGGTCGTCGCGCGCGCGCCTTGCAACACCGACGCGCAAGGGTTTCGCGAGGGTATCAGCATCTTGCGCCCCGAAACTACAAGAAACATGTGTTAGTTTGTTTCTGCAGCGTCGCTGCTCAAAAAAGGTATGCGCGCGGTCTCGTTCGAACTCGGGGGGCGCCATTGGGTTTTCGCGAGGTTCAACACATTCTACCAGAGGTGCGTCTCGCGCGCGCGTCGAACTCTTTTGAACGCCCTTGCGCGCGCATATCGAAATCCTGCCACCTAATACAACGAAAGCCACTCGCGCCTGTCGGCGGCGCGAGCAGGTTGACATCTGTTTTTCGCATCTGTCATCGCGCCGCCGACGCGTGGACGCCGCCCCCGTCATCGGCGCGATCAGCATCAGCGCCGCCATCGGCCTGGCCGTCGCATCGTCATCGCCGTCGCAACCATCGTTGCTAACATCATCGCGTCTGCCGTTGTCGACGTCGCCACGATGCCGCGCCCGCCCGGGCTACCGGCTTGTACTGAAAAGCCCACGCGCTAGCACGGCCTGCGAGACGCGCCGGGAAGCCCCCCGAGATCAGCGCCACCGCGGCCGCGTCGGTCGCGCCAGACTCGCTGATCGCCCTGCGCGCGAGCCAGCGCAAGCTAGCGCAGCCGCGGCGGTGCGCCAGTGCCGGCGCCAAGCAGTTATCGCATTCGCCGCCGCGGGGGTTTTGCGGGCGAAATTGCGGGTGGATGGGTGAGATGATGGCGCGAGTAATGGGAATGGCGCCTCACTGGTGGGCGTCGGGCAATTGCGCCGCGTAGCATGCGAAATCGCGCCATCCTACATGGAACTCCTGGTTCTCCCCCCATTATCCTTGCCAAATTATGACAGTAACGATGCGCGCGCACTCGCTTATCAAACGTCAGCCGTCTTCAGGGGCCCATTGCGCGGTGAGGCGAAACAGTGTCAACGCGCGCGCATCGTCGCGCGCAGGTCGGGATGTTATGGATCAGCGCGATGCCCCCGCGCGCGTGACAACGACTGGCGCTGCGGCTAAAATCGCGCAGCGCACAAAGAAAGGCGCGCGCGCTCTTGCGGCAACTCATGAAGATCACAAGTCCTCATCATCATTGTCATCAATTGAAACCGCGCGGTCCTCTCGCGCGCGCGGCGCGCGCGCGCGCCCCAGAATCAACCGAACGCCCCTTGGCTTGCTAAGGGGGGGGGGGGGGGCGTTCCCTGCTAGAGATATCGCGCTGGCCATTCCCGCCCGTCGGCGGCGCGCGCGCGAACTGTGTCTAAGACCTTCGTCGCCGACTCGCGGGCGCCATGGTCTGCGTCGGCGCGATCAGCAACGGCGCCGTCGCTGGCCTTGCCGCCGCCGTCGTCGTCGTCGTCGCCGTCGTCGTCGCCGCGCCCGCCGCCGCCGACGTCGCGCTGATGCCGCCCGCGCCGCCCCCGAATCACCGACGCGGACTGGGGCGCCCGCGCGCCAGGCGGCGCGCGCCGGGATGCCCCCCGCGGCCAACGCCGCCGCGGCCGCGCCCGTCCGCCGCAGCGGCCGGCCGCTCTGCGCGCGAGCCCGCGCGCGCCGACGCGGTCGCGACGATGCGCCAGCCAGCGCCGAGCAGTCGTCGCAATCGCCCGCCGCACGGGTTCTGCCGACCGAATGGCCGGCGGGCGAGCGTCGGCGACGGCCTGGGCAATCCACTTGGAAAGTCAAAAAGAAACGTGACTAATTGTTCGCACTGCAAGCAAATTAGGGCCCCCCCAAAAAAAGTGATTGCCCACGCGCCCCGGGGATGTGCAATTTGCGCGTCATGTTGCCTATCGCTCATGGCAAATATGAACTCATAGCACCCCGGATAAGCCTGGTTCGACCCCCCCCCCCCCCCCGCCCCCTGCCCCCCTGCTACAGAAACAAATCTCGGACGCTCGTTTATAACAAATCATCAGTTGCCCAGAACCTCTTGCAAGTCAAGGGGCGAAACGCTCGCGAGTTGTCACTCGCGCGCGCCGGAATCCACCCACGGCCCGCGGCTTCGCGAGGGCGTCAACATCGAGCACCCCGGAAACGTGCACGAACGTGCCCAAAACAGGCATGCGCGCGCTCTTACAAATTCTGCGGAAGACAGACGCGCGCGCTGGGATGGGCGGGCGCGGAAGGGGGGGGGGGGGGGGGCGATCCCCCGTCGCGCGAAGCCGCGCGGGTCACTGGCGCGCGTCGGCCGCGCGCGCACGTCGAGATCCGCGCAAAAACCAAGCGAAACTTCACTGCCAACGCGTGGACAGACTCATCGCCTTCGTTGTGATCAGCATCGCCTGCGTCGTTAGCCTCGCCTTCGCCGTCGTCGTCGTCATGGTCGCCGCCAGCGCCGCCGCTGACGTCGTCGCGCCC